GATAATGTTCATTCGTTTTAATTTTGATTTTGCTGGTGTGTTGTTATTTTTGAGGACAAGGTTAGCTGTTTTAAAATTTTTGTCGGAGATAATTAATTTGAATTTTTTTAATAAACTACCCCAATTGACCCGAACAAAAAAAAACAAATGAATATGTATGCATAAATTCACGTGTATAGCTATATATGTCCATATATATATATATGTGTGTGTGTGTGTTCCTGAGTGTGAATATGTTCCTATATTTATAATTGTATAGAACAAAAGCACTGATTATATTATATATCTCATGTAAATATGTATTTTGTAAATTTTGTTCTTATCAAATTATATTGTTTCTCCGTAAATTTGAAAATTTTCAAATTCAACAAATATTCATTATTCCCTGGTAATATTTTGTAGACATTAAAATCATGCATTTTCAATAACCAGTAGTACGACAGACATGTTGATTTTTTTTTCTGACTGGTTTAAAATTCTTATATATCGTATCAGATATTTTACGATATATATATATATATATATATATATATATATATATATATATATATATATATATATATATATAAAGCTTTGAATAAAATAGAATGAAAACTATGTATTTGCGATAAAGTAAGTCCATGTTGATGCCCAGTATTGCAATACTGGATTACGGTATGCCCCGACTCCTACTGCTCAGAAGCTGGGGTCGCAGCTACATGGAAAAATCAGTTTTTCAACAAACAAAATTTAAGGGTCCTACTATACAAGAGGTAGGCTTATACATGAGTATATGTACGGTACACATATAAACACACTCTCACACATACATATATACATAGGTTCATCAATATATATATATATATATATATGTGTGTGTGTGTGTGTGTGTGTGTGTGTGTGTGTGCATGTATGTGTGTACATACATCTATACTATATGTATATACATATATATATGTGTGTGTGTGTGTGTGTGTGTGTCTGTATATGTGTGTGCATACGGATTATAGATCTATGCGCATACCTATTTATATAATACGCATCTCTGTAGCCGTTTAACTCGAGTGGCTCCCGAGGCTTGTACAGGATAAACCTCAGTATAAATATATATATATATATATATATATATATATATATATAGGTGTGTGTGTGTACATGTCTCCATACCTATGTACAGGATGAACCTCACTATAATATATATATATATATATATATATATATATATATAACAATTTCACATTTAGACAGTAGTAATTTATTTGGTCATGCTTTAATGAATTCAACCGATATATTATGTATCATCATTTTTTTAACCTTCTCAGAGGCTCCATAACATTTGCCTTTCTTCCAGATGAAATTAATAAACTGTCCGAATACCTATATCCATATCCCCCGCCACATTCACAATGTAATTTTAGTGTGTGGGCTTCTTCATCGTAATTGTTGTTATTCGAAATTATTTTGGAATTCATTACATTTTAAATCTCAGACCATAATTTTAGAAGCTGTAAGAAGTTCTTGCCTTATAGAAAAAGAAAACAAGAAACGATTCCATGATAAATTGCTCTGAGAATGAATTAATATTTTCCCATTTAAAACATGTTTTTAAATTAAAAATAATCCAATTTAAATATTAACGGAAAGATATCAGTCATCGCTAATTAATGTCCATTTAAATAGCAAATAGCTAATTACTATCAACGCCTATCTGAAAAAGTAGTGAGGACAGACATATAAAATACATTAACCAATATATAAAAAATAAACGCCATACGTTCGTATAAATAAATACATATATATAAATATATGTGTGTGCGTGTATGGGTGTAAATAATTTTAAGAATGTGTGTATCTCTAACGGAACTTTAAATATATATTAATAAAAGACAAGAGGAAAAACTATTTTAGATGACGAGTTTCGTCCCCGAGGGACTTTATCATATGTCAAGTGATAATGTCCTCGAGGACGAAACTCGTCAAATAGTTTTGCTTCTTCATATATATATATATATATATATATATATATATATATATATATATATATATGTATGTGTGTGTGTGTGTGTGTGCGTGTGTGCGTGTGTGTGTATGTAAAAAAGTGGCTAAAAGACGCTTGGGACAAAGAAAGTTATGGAAATAACTTCCTTACTTCCTTACTCCTTACTTCCTTACGAAAGATATTTCAAAAGAAAGGTTGCTGCCCAAATATACATCTAGATAGATAGATAGTATGACACTTGCTTATTATGTATACATATTTATGTATACATCCATAGATTTATATGTTTGTTCTTATGCTGTAAACTTTCACTGATAATGGTAGAAAGAATATAGAGTTATGAACACGCGTACACATATATAGTGATATAATAAAATTGATATAAACAAACTTCTAGAAATACGTTATATATATATATATATATATATATATATATATAGATAGATAGATAGATAGATAGATAGATAGATAGATAGATAGATTGTTACTTCACCGCGTAAGCAATACAGAATTCTTTTTATCTTATCTGTAAATGAAATGGTTCCGCGTTACCTTTTCCATTGTTTAAGTTTCCCTTTTGCTATACTGGTTGACACGAAGGTCGGAGTTTCCATTCAACCTAGTTATTTAACCCATAGCTATGAGAGACGTGATAGATTCATAGCTTTTCTAACGACATTGATAAGTTTCTCTGGAAATAATTTTCTTCTCATTTAAAACTTATATTTAGATTTTAACGAAAAGATACCAGTCACCGCTAATTAAATCCATTTAAATAACCAAAATCTAATAACTATTAACCTCTACCCCACGGACGAAACTTTGCTAGACTCTAGCCTACACTATCGCTACTTCTATGAGAATGTTCAAACACGCCTAGATCCACCAGTTCGAAACCTCTATGCCAAAATCACGGTATGAAAACATCCTGATTCCATTTCTATTTCTTTGGTAAGAAGTAAGTTCCATTGAGACAGCTTCTGAACTGTTACTTTTTGCAACAGAATCCCGAGAGGGTTCTTCCTCGACCTCTAAAATCTTAACCTCTTCATGTCTAGGTTCAAACAGTATCTTCAAATCACGCTGAAAACGCCGTTTCTCATTCAATCGACGAAGTTAAGTAACATCGAGCCTGGTCAGTACTTAGATGATCGACTGCTTGGGAAAACCGTGCACAGGAAACAACCTCGTACAATCCGAAATCTGTTTCGACTGTAAATAATCCTAAAAGGGTTGATAAACCGTAAAAAAACCCCAAATCAATCAACCAACCAATAATGCATATCCTACCTGCCCTCATATTATTTCCTTACTTCTTCCTCCCTCCATATTTACAACAGTTTTTCTTGTTAATATTTTGTTATACTGGTTAATAACATTCACTTAATTGTTAATAATCACCTTGGGGAAGGTATGAAACAATCTCTCCCCACGAGCTATGGGTAAATAGCAGGACAAGCGTTGTCCTATAGCCGTGAGTGGCAACCGATCTAGGAGAAGGTAAAACTCTAACTTCAAAACCAGCGTGGAGAGGGTTCAGCTCTGTCAGGTCATCTTACCCAAGAAACGTCACTGCTACAGCTGCGGAAGTATATGTCGTGCCCTTACAACCCTAGAGAGTTACGGGTTTAAAAAAAAAAAAGGTGAGTTCAATTCTGACGGAGAGAGCCATACTTTCTGTCTTGTGCAGAAAGTATGGCTAAGGTAGGCCTAGTAAATGGCTATAAAAAGTTGTGCAAGGCTTAACCTTATTTTTCGTCAGAGAAGTGAAATTGAGACAAATTCTAATAAATACGTTTTTTACCCTGTCGATATCCATAAATAAAATCTAAGTTCCACTAATTATGTAAAGTCTAAAATAACTATCCTTTGATCCGAGAATATTGAACGGGAATTTCGATTTCTTGAATGTCAACTCCATGCGAAATGTATGGTCGAAGCCACTTTAATTCCACTTTCTACAGCACTATGAAAAGGAAACACTATTGGATTTTCCGTTTTCTTTTGTTTTCTCGTTTTAAGGTTTTCTTTTTCGTTTTTAGTTTTCATTTTTCGAATTCCTCGTGTTTCTGGGCTGCCGGTTTAATCGAAAGGTCGCATCTGGATTACTGAGTAATCGACCGTAACAAGTACAAGAAAAATCCAAATGTTTTGATTTCACGTGATTAAGGGATTATCGAAAATTTCAAGACTCTAACCACCACCAGCTTGGCAGAATTGCCACCGCTTGATGCTATTTAATTAAGAACTTGTAAAGTTTTGCTGTTGATAAAATGATTCTAAAAGAAACGTGTTATTAAAATCGGCTATCTGATAATATAGTTTTCTTTTCCTTCTCTTCATAAAGTTAATATTAATTTTCGTGTTTAAAAGGTTAATTCTAATAGTATTGACGTTTTCTCGTCACAGTTAAATAATATTTTAGTGACTGAAAAATCTATATGATACATCTAAATATTTTTATCTATATCTATATACACTCTCTCTCTATCTTTCTCCCCCTCACTCTCTCTCTCTCTCTCTCTCTCTCTATATATATATATATATATATATGTGTGTGTGTGTGTGTGTGTACAATTACACACAAGCAAGACTCAACAGCTATCTGAAAGAAATAACGAGGACAGACGTATAAAAACGTATAAGCAATGTATAAAAACAGCGTACATTCGTATAAATGAGTGAATATATATATATATATATATATATATATATATATATATATGGCACCTGGAGGCGGTGGCATGGTTAGCAAGTTTATCTCGCTAGAATAATTACGATGCTCACTAGGTGCCCCATATTTTCAGCCTTGTGCTACATCTAAGCGTGGAAAATCACTATATATAAATATACATATATAGATATATATATAGATATAGATATACATATATATATATATATATATATATATATATATATATATATATATATATATATAGAGAGAGAGATATAGATATATATATATATATATATATATATATATATATATATAGAGAGAGAGAGAGAGAGAGAGAGAGAAGACAGAGAATGAGATAGATAGATAGATAGATAGATAGATAGATAGATAGATAGATAGATAGATAGATAGACTTACATTTGCTTATTATGCCCACGTATTTAGTATAAATCCATATATTTATACGTTTCTCTGATTCACAAATATATTATTAATATGTATTATTAATATGTATTATATATATTATTAATATGTATTATAATTTATATAAACAGATGTATATAAAAAAGTTTCAATATATATAGAATGTCACTTCCCCACGTAGGCATTTTTGAAGTGGAATGATAGCTCGTTGCCATCTCCACAGTTTACATTTCAGAGTTTCTTTTTCCTTAGACTTGTTGACACAAAAGCTTGAGTTTCCACTCAAACCTGTTATTTAACCCATAGCTATGACACAAATGATAGATTCATAGCTATTCTTGTGGCATTTCTGCGAAAGTCATAGCAACTGAATAGACCAAACTTAGATCTCGGCCTGCCGATTCCCCTTTCTCCGTCGATAACCTTTGTGTTAGCTATTTCATATATATTTATATATATATATATATATATATATATATATATATATATATATATATATATATATATATATATATATATATATATATATATATATATATATATATATATATATATATATATATATATATATACAAACAAACAAACATACTGATTACACAGCCGATTATTTAACATACGCAATATTTTAATTATGAATTAATATATATATATATATATATATATATATATATATATATATATATATTATTATTATTATTATTAGTAGTAGTAGTAGTAGTAGTATTTTCCGGTGTACATTGACCGACTTCTACCACTATTAGTTTCATGCATTTGCCCGCAATTTTCAGCCATTCGAAAATTATTTTTATTTTAGACCTCCCCATGTTAGCCCAAAATAATTAAATAAGAGTAGCTATTGTATACATAATTTGACCACACCAACTAATTTCATTAGTGTTGGGGAGAAATGCCGAAAGAATCCAAATGAAAAAAAAAAACAAAAAAAAACGAAGAATCGCTATTAAGTGAAGAGAGCATCGGAAATAACATTAAATCGTCAAAGGAGCGTAACCCTATAAGCATCTTTAGGCATATACCGGATCTTTGAAGTACCCCAAAACAGATCATGTACATATTTTAGTAAATGCGCAAAGTAAGCACCTCCTAAGGGAATATTCTAAAAAGGCACAACAGAGAAAAATAACTTAATGCTACAGTAGCAGATCATTATATGGATATGTCTATAGGTCTATATATATATATATATATATATATATATATATATATATATATATATATATATGTACTCTATACAATTACCGAGTACGAAATCTTCAGAGTACTAAATACATACACACACAAACATACATAAGTCTCTACATATATATATATATATATATATATATATATATATATATATATATGTGTGTGTGTGTGTGTGTGTGTGTGTGTACTGAGAGAGAGAGAAACGTAAAATATAGAGAAAAGTGATGAAAATATTGAAAGTGATGAAAGTATATAATCGTATATCTATCTATCTATCTATCTATCTATCTATCTATCTATCTCTCTATATATATATATGTATAATCATGTCATAGTACATATATATATATTTTGATATATGATTACATATATATATATATAATCACATATCATATATATATATTTCATATGTATTTTTTGATATTATTACAAATATATACATACATATACACACACACACACACACACACACACACACACATATATATATATATATATATATATATATATATATATATATATATATATATATATATATATATATATATATATATTTATAGAAATAACTAATAGTAGAACTAATTACTTGGGTAAGTAATTTAGAAACTTCACGTAAAAAATATATGCTCACAACATGCATGCATATATATAGTTTATTTATTAACTTTTATTGAACAAAAATTAATTACTGTAGATTAAGATGGCTAAAGATCAACTCTCGCTTAGGCCTTTCGGGAATGGTTAAATGGTTAATATCTAGCTGTGATGGACAGAACAACGTGAAACAACTGAATGTCCATCAAGACCACCAGGCCTAACACCATCAGACATTTCCTTCTGGTGTATAATGAAAGATCATGTTTACATGCTGAAAGTGAAAACAGTTCCTGAATTAAAACAAGCAATTTCTGAAAGATTTTCTGAAATTAATGTAGAAACGTGTTAAATGATTTATAGAAGGGTTGCTGAGAGGGTTTAGTGTTGTGTTGAACGTGAAGGGGGCAGCATTGTGAACAAATTATGTTGTTTTGATGTGACAATACTTGTAAATTTCCTTAAAACTACTGTAAAATATTTTTGCTTAATAAAAATTAAAATTAAAAATAGAATAGAGCGTTATTTTGCGGCACCATGTCGGATGTCAACTGATGAGCTATGATACAGCGAAACAGGACTGTATGTGGATGACCATACATACGTGAATATATATATATATATATATATTCTTAATTCAAATGTAAAAGAATGAAGAGTAAGAATTCAGCGTTCAAAACATTAATTTAAATCAGGGCCCATTGTTAAAATTATTTTAACCTTTCATCAGGTGGGAAAATACGATGCTAATAAAATATTTTATCATAAATATAATAAAATATTTTAGTAGCATTTTCCCACCTAATTAAAAAAAAAGTTATTTTTAAGATTGAAACAAGATGAACAGTTTTGTAGTGGGTATGTGCATGTTCTAATATAGCTCTGCATAATGTATATATATATATATATATATATATATATATATATATATATATCAAATAGAGTAGATAAGTTGGTCAACAAAACAAAGTTAAAGAAAAGGTTACCAATGTAATCAGTATGAAAAACATTTATTAATATAAAACACCTGACAAAAATTGTGTATATATATATATATATATATATATATATATATATATATATGTGTGTGTGTGTAATGGGCACGCGTCCGCAGGTCTTTTGTGTGTGTGTGTGTGTTCACAGCTTTATTTGGGTGCTTATGATGTGTTTATGTGTGAAAATATTCGTTTTGATAAAAGAGTAAATATTAAATCATAAGTTATATGAAACGATGTCTTCTAAAAGACTAAAATTGTCCTGAATTTATGGATTGTATACTAAATATGAATTGCACGAGGAGGTCCTAAAAAGTTCCCCGAAATCTAAAATCTCACCACATCACTAAACATCAGAACTAATTAACAGAACGCTTCCTCAGCGTACCGATAACTTTACAGCAGCCCCTCGTATAATAAATATAAAATTTACACGCAAGTGATCCATAAAAATTTTAAAATATATGATGAGGCGTAGATATCTTTTAAGTGTTATCATGGTAGATATTAGAAGTATTTGGTGTCGTTACGATTGTCTTATTTAGTAGGATATTAATAACAAAAGAGATAATAACATAAACAAAAAGAAAAAAAAGAAACTAAATGAAATTGCTTTCAATATCTACCCCAAAATATATTAAGAAAAAAAAACGAACAAAAAAACATTTGAACTATAACAATATCAGTGTGCCAACCCATTCGTACGCGTGTGTAGTTACATAAACGCAAAATAGTGCCTATAGTTGGATAAATCATAAAGGACGAACCACGTTACAATAATTTTTTGGGCCACGAATTAATTAATTTCCCTATATAGTTCTGGTGTATATAAAATGTAGGCATAATTTTTTCGAAATATATATATATATATATATATATATATATATAGATAGATAGATAGATAGATATAGGTAGATATACATATATATTGGTATGGGTATGTTTCGGGTCATCTACTTCATATGGGAAAAAAGTAAACAATTCGACATTTTAGTGTCGTAAAAAAATATTTTAAACGCTTCCATGCATGTATATCAGTATTACCTTGGATTGAAATGCAAATAATATCCCTTCTAAAATGCAAATAATAATGAAATAACGTTGAAATACCTATATAATAACTCACCAAATACATCATATATATATATATATATATATATATATATATATATATATATATATATATATATATATATATATGTATGTATGTATGTATAAATCAGACAATCACTCGGTTTTTGTTTTTTCTTCAATAGTGCAAATATATATATATATATATATATATATATATATATATATATATATATATATATATATGTATTAACAAATGACTGTTCTAGGCCTGATGATTGCTTTCAAGCAGGAAAAGACTGTCGCTAGACAGTGATTAACATTAGTGTCCCAACTTATGTATATACCATCTAAACCGGATATCTGAACCTTTAAATATAGCATAAAAGTAAGGCTCTATTTTATCTTTCATATCCATACATACATACATACATACATATATATATATATATATATATATATATACATACATATATATATATATATATATATATATATATATATATATACATATATATATATATATATATATATATATATATATATATATATATATACATATATATATATATATATATATATATATATATATATATACATACATATATATATATATATATATATATATATATATATATATATATATATATATATATATATATGCAGTTAGTTTCCTAATATATTTTCATGTTCAGATTCCGCATTCAGAGACATGTCCATGTTTAAACACATGTTCATGAGGTTATAACTCTATATTTTCATCTCCATAAATAGTAAGATTGCCGACCATTTGATAAAATTAGAAACGTTTTGAAGACATTACATAAGCAGAACATGTAGAAAATACAGATGCATCGAATTGTATATGTACACCAAAATATATGATTACTAATTTTCATGTACAAGCATGCACATTTGCATGAATACTATATATATATATGCGTGTGTGTGTTTGTGCCTTTGTGTGTGTGTGTGTGTTTGCATTCAATTAGGCGCATAGACAATTATATACATACATATCTGTATATCTCATATTATGTATATATATATACATAAATATATATATATAAAACGGCGTGACAACTGCGCTTATAAATATATATGTAAAACTGCCTGACGATTGCGTCTAGCATGTAAGAGTCTTTCGCCTCTGAATGTTGACTTCAATATATATAAGAGATCATTGAAGTCAACACTGAATGAATAGATAGATGAATGAATAGATAGATAGATAGATGAATGAATAGATAGATAGATAGATAGATAGATATGAATGAATTCTAAAAAAAATTAATTAAATAAATGTATTTAAGGAAAAGATATTTTTGAAATAATGATATAGCTGTCAATAATAGATTAATACATCCATATATATATATACATACATACATACATATATATATATATATATATATATATATATATATATATATATATATATATAATGAATGTATATATAGATAGATTATATATTTCAATGATGGATCATTCAATCAGATATTACAAGTTTACAGAAATTCTTTCGCGTCGTTATTATTCTATTATCCACTTCCATTCTGACATGTATATATTTGCATATCACATCTTTCTCTTTCGTTATATATATATATATGTGTGTGTGTGTGTGTGTGTGTGTGTGTGTGTGTGTGTGTGTGTGTGTATGTTGTGGATGTGGATGTGTCGTGTGTCTTTGGGGGATAGTTGTGGTTTATGAATCTTTACTAAATATATTGTAAGATATATAGATAAATAGATACTGGGACAGAGATATATAGACGGATAGATGAATGAATAGATGAGATAGATAGATAGATAGATAGATAGATAGATAGATAGATAGATAGAAGTAATGCCTAAAAACAGATTCACTCATTTTCATTTAACATATCAATCAATCGTCAGAGGAATATTCTCCACAGATATAATACATACAATTTCAGATTAGAAAATAAACACAAGCACACGTTATATATATATATATATATATATATATATATATATATATATATATATATATATATATATATGTATATATATATATATGTATATATGTATGTATGCATATATATATATGCATATATATATATATATATATATATATATATATATATATATATATATCTGTATGTTCGAGGTTTCTGTTATTTAAATTGTACATGTGTGTTTTTGTTCGTGGATTAAGCTGATAAACCATTAATGTGTAAGTATTACATTTACTCATTATAATATATATAATATATAATTATATATCTTATATAGAAGTAAATATATAATTATAATATGTATATAATACAAAAGGTGTAGATAGGTTTGCCTATCGTCCAGGTCAAACTCCTCCCCGGTCTTTTTTCAACAGGAATAGTGGTTTATCCTGTGTTCCTGTGTTTATGATTGCGTTTCCGGTTCATTCTAAAATCTTTTCCTTCTATTTCGCTCCCAGTAACTCTCTTAGTGGCATTATTGCCTTGTTCTGGGTAAATTGTTTTTTTTTGTTTGTTTTTTTTGTTGTTTTTTTTTTTTAAATAGCAATACATTTAATATTAATTCAATTAAATTGGTATACTTATAAAAGTAGACTCTTCATGTTTATATCGACAGATTAAATATATTTTCCAAAGAAGAAATAAATAAATGCATTAGAATGAAAATAAAAATTATCTCAATGCCTTCTGAGAAATAATTACATTTCGGAAAAGTCCATCATCATTCATAGCCACCGTTTCCTTTAACAAAGAAAACTTTTAGCAAAATAAAATCGAGTAGAAAAACAAAGAGAATTGTTAATATATATATATATATATATATATATATATATATTTCCAATTCCATTTCTTTTAACAAAAACTATCGTCTGATAGCCCCATTCAGGTCGCAATAGGTCAGTATGAGAAATCGCTTATCGATACACCACTTTTTCCATTTGAATCCAGAATATTGATATCGAACAGTACGGTTCACTTCGACGCTACTCGAGTGATTGCCACTTTTTGATTGGCTTCACTGTTGTACCTGAAAGAGTGACAGACAGGTCGTCGTAGTTGCTACTGAAATTATTTTTATTTACGCTTTTTTTTTTTTTTTTTTTTTTTTCAACTTGCCTGATCAGTTTGTGTTCTCTTTGATGATTGGTGGAGACCAACCAATAGAAAGCCGTATAACAGAAATCCGAGCGGAAAAATACCTCATCCTTCTTATGTCAGCATAGGAACACTCGCACACCTGTTTACTTATGAATTTGCCTACCTATCCTATTTTTAAAGATCAGCCAATCAAACAAAGTCATGAATGTACTCAAATACTTAACTATGCCTAATTATTCGGTACTGTATATAATTAGAGATATAATGAGTGCTTCGTCGTGGTGGAATGGTTAGCATGCTTATCTCGCTCACTCAGTTACGACAGAGTAGTAGTCATTCTAATTCTCACTGGGTGCTCAGCCTTGTGTTACGTCTAAGTTGCCCTTAGTAAATCATCGGGTAGAGAGATAAGTAAAACCCGTGTTAAAATTCCTTTGTGCATAGTCATTTTTCGAATGGGATAATCTTATAACAATTATTAAAAATCGCGTAAAAGTTCTAACGATACAGAATAGATTTTAAAATTAATATTTATTCGGACCTCGAAATTATTTCCTATTTCTTTTATTTAAATTCCGATTATAAAGTTACTTATCAGTGTACACACTGCATTTACCGTGTCTCGCCAGAAACTCCAGTTAGCTTTCGAAATCACTTCAAAAATTTCTATTTAATTGTTTATTATTATTATTATTATTATTATTATTATTATTATTATTATGTACACTCCTAGAAGAACACAATATCCAAAAAATAAACAGAAAAGAAGAGACACAATTTTTGCCAATATTTACACAATATTGAAGAAGATAATCATACTGTCGAAACATTGTTAAACATTGTTTGTTTTTTTCCCTTTTATATTCCTTGAAATCACGCACTTCTGAAAGTGTTGGACAATACCGGAAGAGTTACGTCAATCATTTTGATTATTATTATAAATTATTATTATTATTATTATTATTGTTGTTGTTGTTAGATTATTTCACGGAATTTAGGATATCTGTTAGTTAACCTGTATAGTTTTATTATTCTTCGCAGACAAAATGCCACCTTGGAACGAAAGTCGACATCAGTGTTAAAAAAATAAGATCCAATTTAATTATAGAGTAACCTCAGACAAGGAGAAAGATATATAAACGTGGATAACATAAAGATTTTATTTAGAAATTTTCAAAAAATGCAACTGACATCTTGGTATCGTCTCACATATGTACAGGATAATAAGCCCAACAACAAAATGGAGAAACTAGTCCAA